CCTTACATGTAGTTGCATGAAGTCCTGTGTGTTTGATGCTTGTTACGTTCATTCGACTATGTTCTTGGTTGTTCATGCAACGTCTGTGTGTTACATCTTTGCCTATCGCCATTGTGGCAGCTGGCTAGCTTGGCTTTGTTAGGAACCATGCTTCTGGTATTTGATGATTGCTAGGGACCGTGGACATGCTTGTCCTTCCGAAACGTGCATATCACGTGTCCTAGGTGTAGTGCAGCACGTTGTCGCTGTGATATCCTCGACACTGTGTCATCTTCTCTGTATTCTCCTATGTAGACCTTCTCTGACATCTGGTTTGCTATCAATTTGGATAAATGGATTTCTCAGCCATCAGTTATAAGCAGTCATTGTGGAACTGGTATTAATTAGATGGGGAAAGGATCACCAAGCTCCCCCTCCCAAAAAAAAACCAGAGTGATCAGAACTTAGATGGAACCTGATCATATGCCCTGGAAGAACAATATTGAAGAGAACAGACATACTTTTAACCTGGTAGCTCCTCTCTGAAGAGAGCAGATAGAAGTCTCCTGATTCCCCTTCTGGCAGGAATAAAAGTCTCCCTTGGAGAAGGATCAGCGGAGAAGGAACTAAAGATGTCTCTTCTGCCTCTCTTAGAGCTATACCCAAGGACAGCCCTCACTATATGTGGGTGGGACTCACTCTTCTGCTACAAATCTGTTTATCCAAATAAAATACCCTCTTAATCCTCCTTCAATTCCATCTCCACCAGTTGCCTTCCTATGGCTTTTACCTGCAAGATTATCCAATTCACCTGTCCTGAGACTAAACCCTTATGGACAGTGATGACCTACCTGAACTCAAGCCTCAATTATTATCACATTTGTACCACATCAAACCACCCCACACACACACCCCATCCCAGAGAATCTGAACCCCTGACCACCACTGTTCAAAGTCTATTTTTGGTCTGACATGGACTGCTTCTTTATTTCCCACCCCACCATGTCCCACTCCAGATCTACCCACCTCTTCCACAGTGCCCTCTGAAGTGCCTGTTTCATAGGCAACAAACTGGCTTTCATCTTAAATCTTTTTCTTTCCTGATCCTTCCATCTTTCTATGCTTACCAAGACCCACCTGGTTGAATCCTTCTGGACTCTCCTCATGCTTCCTTGAATCTCATCATCCTGCAGGATCACATCAACTCTGGGACTCACACCTCCTCAGTGGCCACTGTCCCAGGGCCCCCCACCTCTCTCTGATTGAACAGGGTAGCAAGTGGACAAAATTTCTGCATGTGCTGTAACTGATGGCTCCACGTATGGATGGTGCAGTGTTGGCTGGTGGAAAACCTGTGTTAATTTCTTGGTGTTAATTGTTATCTCAGCAGCTCCCGTGGATTCAATTATCATCTCTAGGCTGATGATTTCGCACATCTATTTGCCCATCCTTACCTTACCTGCTGACTTCCAGTCCTGAACCTCCAAATGCCTTTCAAACATCTTAAACTGGGTGTCCTTTAGAGAAAATCAGCACAAGCAGCGGAGGATCAATCCATGCTTTGTTGCATCTCAGCCTCAGAGGCTGCATTGACTGTACAATCATCTTTGAACAAAAAGTCATGCACCAAGTCTCCCTCCAATTTAGTCTTGACCTTTTCAAGTTATATAACTTACCATCAGTGCGGTAGCTGACCTTGATGCCATGTTCATCCTCATTGAAGGCTTCTGACAACATTGCTGAAAACATCACGCTAAAGAGTGTGGGAGAGGGGCAGCTAGGTGGCACAGTGGATAGGGCTCTGGCCTTAGAGTCAGGAGACGTGAGTTCAAATCCAGCCTCAGACGCTTGACACTAGCTGTGTGACCTTGGGCAAATCACTTAACCCCAACTGCCTCACCAAAAAGCAAAACAAGTAAATAGATAGCTAGATAATTAATTACATAAAAAACAGAGGGAGTAAGCACATAGCCCTGCTTCACTCCACTGGTGACTGGGAAAGTGTGAAAGCATCATGCATTATCCAGAATCTGTGTAAGCATGCCATCATGGAACTAAAGCCATAAGGTGCAGATGGAGGGAGAATGTTCCAGGCATGATGGACAGCCAGAGAGAATGCCAGAGCTGAGAGATGGAGGGTCCTGTTGGTGGAATAGCCAGGGGGCCAGTGTCATTGAATCAAAGCATATGTGTCAGGGAGTCAGGTGTGAGAAGATTGGGAAGAGAGGGAGGGGACTAGGTTATGAAAGGCTTTGAATGTCAAAGAAAGGGTTTTGTACTTAATCCTAGAGGCCATAAAGAGCCACTGGGGTTTCTTGAGGAGGGGGTGACAGGTTCAGACCTGAATTTTAGGAAAATCACTTTAGTGGCTGAATGGAGAATGAACTGGAGTGGGAAGGCAGGCAGATTCCCCCCCCCCCAGCTGCTACTGTAGTAGTCCAGGTGTGGAGGGAAGCATCAAAGGAGAGACAGGCCTCTGCAACAGCTTGGATATGACTCCTGCTCTCACCCTCTCAGCTGCCACCAGCTCCCTCTTTTCCCCTCCCCCACTCACAGCACTCAGACGCCTTCTGCTCTTCTTTCCTCCTTCACCCCTTGTCTCCCATGAAGAGATGGACCTTCTCTTCACCTCCTTCCTCTTCATGCACAATGTCACCTTCTCTCCTCTGTCCCCCTCATTCTGTGGTCCCCAATCTCTCCATCTACAGACATATCTATGTCTCCCCCATCCTCAAAAAGCCCTCACTTAGTTCCCTGAACCCCTACTCTATGTCTGCCTCCACTTTCTTTCTGAAGTTCCCTTCCAATCTCAACCCATATTATCTCCTGCTCACCATGGGTGTCCCTCAGGGCTCTGTCCTGGGCCCTCTTTTCTCCTTCTGCTACTTCACTTGGCTATCTCAGCAGCTCCCATGGATTCAATTACGATCTCTAGGCAGATGATTTCTCACACCTATTTGCCCATGCTTAACTCACCCGCTGACTTCCAGTCTTGAACCTTCAAATGCCTTTCAAACATTTTAAACTGGGTGTCCTCTAGACATCTTAAACTCAACATGACAAAGACAGAATCCCAACTCTCTTTTTTCTACCTCCTCTATTATTGTCAAGGTTAAGAGACCATCCCCTCAAGCCCTCAGGCTCCCAACCTAGAAGTCAATCTTGACTCCTCCCTCTTTTTCATCCCCACATCCCAACCTATGGCCAAAGCCTGTTGATTCTACCTTTACAATACCTCTTTCTCCCCTCTGACACTGCCCCCAACCCTGGTGGAAGGCCTCATCCCCTCACCCTTGGACCATGGCTTTCAGATCCTTCCTGACTCCGATTCATCCTCCACTCAGCCTAAAGTGCACTTCTAACTGTGGAACTCTTCCTCTCCTCACTCCACTCCAGTGGCTTCCTATTGCATCAGATAGCAAATACAAAATCCTCTGCTGTTAAGCTTTTAAAATCCTTCATGACCTACCACCCCCCACACCTTTTCCAATCTTTATACTTTCCTTCCTCCACATACTCTGTAATCCAGTGATATCGGCCTCCCCCTGCTCTTCCTAACATGGCACTCCATGGCATCTTCTCTGCCTGTCCCCATGCCTGGAATGCTCTTCATCATCTCCGCCTCCTGGCTTCCCTGGCTCAGGTCCCAGCCAATATCCCACCTTCTACAAGGAACTTCACCCAGGCCCCCTTAATGCCCCGATCATCTCCTTTTTATCCTGTATCTGTACACCACTGTTTGCACCTCGTCTGTCCCATTAGATCGCTAGCTTCTTTAGAGCAGTAATTGGGTTTTGTTGTTTGGCCTTCCTTTGTATCTCCAGTGCCGAGCACAGAGCTTGATGCTTAATGCTGGTTGGCTAGATTCAACGAAATGGCAAGCAGAAATCAGAGCAGTTCTGTAGATCAGGGTACATCAGAGTAATGAATTCTTCAGCTGAGAGTAAGATCTCAACTCAAACTAGGAGAGAGAAAGAGGGATTGGAGAGGGCTGAAGGGTGGAAGGGTAACTGAGGGTCTCAAACCCTCTGGTGAGTTAGGGGGCGTCTACCCCGAGCACTGAACGCTGCTCTCGGCGGAGTGGTTGGATGAGTACCATCGTTCCTGTGCAGCCTGGCTCGGAGCTTGGTTAGACATGGAAGAGCCGGAGTCATCCACGGCCTCCCAAGCCATTCTGATCGTCTCACTTTGTGCAACTCTGCACATCCAACGTGGCCGGAATCAAAAGCCATCCCCACACCACGTTACCATTCTGCCTGTCTCCAAGCCCTGCGGGGGGGGGGGGGGGGGTAAGGGGGAGGGGCAGGCGTCAGGCCTCAGGGTTGTTGGAGGCGCCCTTAGGGCGGGGCACACAGCTGGCGCCTAATCCATGCCCACAGTCCTTTCAGGGCTTTGTTAGAAGGAAGTAACCAAGGTCCAGCGGACGGAAGGGCCTTTCCCCGTGGCCCAGGTCCCTGGCGGGTCCAAGGCCGGGCCCCCTCGGCCTCTCCCGGGGCCCCTCTGTACAGCCCCGCCTCGTACCATTGGAGCCCCTTCGGCTCTAGTCTCCGACTAAAGAGTCAAGGCTCGAATTCTTGGAGGCAGGACCCGCGTCTTCTGCCCTTGAATTTCGGGGTTCCCAGCACCCCTATAGCGCAGCAGGCTGAAATCTGGCTCTGCAGGCCACAAAGTGCCGTGGCGAGGACAGCCCGAAGGACAGGCCGCGGGAGGCCTCGAGAAGACCGGTCTAGGGCGGGCCGGAGGGCGGGGCCAAAGCCCCGGAGCAGCCTGGCGTCCTTCCGGAGCCATCGCGGTTTGGTGACGTCACATCCGGACCAACCACGTGCTCCGTGGAGGAGAGGGGGCCCCGCGGCAGGAAGAGGAAGGGCGGAAGAGGCGGGACCGAAGCGGAGGGGGCGGGGTGGTGCAGGTGAACTCTGTGGCGGGGCGGGGCGGGTCATGAGAGGAGGACGGGCCTACGGGGGGCGGGGCCTCCTGGTCCTGCTAGCTCAAGCCCCTGGGGGAGGGGGGGGAGTGTTTTGGGAGAGACCCGCCTCCTTCCGTTAGGGCGCGATGGCGTCACTAAGCGGCCGTTAGCGGCCCCGGCGTCGTCCTCGTGGCGCCATAGGCCAGCCCTACAACCTTGAAGCCTCGCAGGCTAAGAAAAGCCCTAGTGGTACGTTTTTTTTAGACCCACGTGGAAACTCAGAGAGCGGGGAGGGGGAAGAGAGGGAGAGGGGGAAGAAGAGGGGGAAGAGGAAGAAGTGGGGAAAAGGGGAAAGGATTGGGGGGGAGGGGAGGAGAGAGAGAAGAGAGGGGAGGGGAAAAAGAGGAGGGGCCACACCCAAGGGAGAATTAGGGAATAAGCAAAAAAAAATGAAGGAATGAATGAAGGGGGGAGGGGATGAGTGAGCCCTCCCCTCCTTGGTGGTGACCACCCCTTTGGGTTCTGTGGGAGCAGGGCAGGGACTTGTCTGTGTCCACCTTTTGGGGTTTACTGTCCCAACTGTCTCTGTACCCCCAGATCTCCCTGGGCCAGCTTTTGGGGGACCCCAGTTTGGTGACTTGGGAGAGCATCTCCCTTGAAACTAATGAGCAGTTTTTCAAAGGCTGCGATGATTCTTTTTGCTCTGCTTTTTTGGCGGAGAGGTGGGAGCATCATTTCTGACAGTCCACCCCCCCCCAAATCCTCTCAGTAGAAATAATAGCTAAATAATAATATTAGCTGAAAAAATATTAAAAATAATAGTTTAAACTTTGAAAACCTGTAAAGGTTTCAAAGTGCCTTACAAATACCTCATTTTGTCCTCACAGTCACCAGGAAGGGAGGTACTGTCATTCTCCCCACTTTACAGATGAGGAAACTGAGTCAGCAGAGTGAGTTAGGGATGTGCCCAGAGGCCCACAGCTAGGAAGTATCTGTGGCTGGATTTGAAGTCAGATCTTCCTGACTCCAGGCCTGGCCCCGGTGTACTGGGGCTCCACTTCTCTCCCTTTCCAAGCCCCCATTGATTGTGTTCTCTCCCTGAGCCCAGCATCCCAGCTGCAGGAGGTTGCTGCAGAGATGGAGAAGGAACAAACATCTTCACCCTAGGCATAATTCTGTACCCCCACCTCTTCTGCTCTGTTCTAACCCAGTGTAGTCCACCCACGTTCCTGTCCAAAGCCCTGCTGTGCTCAGGGGGCTGTTGCTCCAACACCCGGCCTGTTGAACTCTCAGGCTGGGGACTGCAAGGCCTGAGGAGGAGGCCTCAGCCCCAGGCCTCATTCTTGGGGCCAGTGGCCTGATGAGGCGGGGTGGAGAAGGCCTCAGATCCTGCCCTCCATCCTCAGACACAAATGCAGGCGCTCAATTGGGCAAGTCCCCAAGATCTTCCATCACGACAGGGACGGGATCCTAGCAATCATTAATCCACCTCTCCAAAATCTCCTGGATGTGCCTCTCTTGCTTGTTTGCTGATTGTCCCTGTTGGGACACAATACTTTCTGAAGATTCACTGCCCTTCTGGGTCACCCCTGTGCTTAGAGCCGTGATGGGGACACAGGAAGCTCTTAATCCAAGTTCATAGCCTTGACTTGGAAAGTAGAGATGACCATCCAAATTCCATGGTGTCTGTGAAGTCCAGTGGCCTTACACCTGCATTCCCGTGTCCTGCTCATCTCACTGCTGGCTGAATCTTTGGGCCCTTCTCTGTAGAACTCTCTCTCTCTCCCTCTCCCTGTCCCTCCCTCTCTCTCTCTCTCTCTCCTCTCTCTCTCTCTCTCTCTCTCTCTCTCTCTCTCTCTTTTATTTTGATTTATCAGCAATCGCTTCCATAAGTTTTGAGTTTTAAATTTTTCTCTCCCTGTCTCCCCAAGATGGCACACAATCTGATATAGGCTGTACATATACATTCCTATTAAACATGTTTTCACCTTAATGATGTTGTAAGGAAGAATTAGAAGCAATAGGAGGAAACACAAGAAGAAGAAACAAAACAGAAGGAAAAAAAGAGCAAATAGCATGCTTCAATCTGCATTCAAACTCCATAGTTCTTTCTCTGGATGTGGATGGCATTTTCCATCATGAGACCTTTGGAGATGTCTTACATATTTGCATTGCTGAGAAGGGCTAAGTCTATCAACTGTCAGTGCTATTCATCACGCAGTGTGGCTGTTACTGTGTACGGTTCTCCTGGTTCTGCTCATGTCACTCAGCATCAGACCATACAGATCTTTGCAGGTTTTTCTGAAGTCTGCCTGCTCATCATTTCTTATAGCACAATAGTATTCCATTACATTCATATACCACAGCTTGTTCAGCCATTCCCCAATGGATGGGCTTCCCCTCAACTTCCAGTTCTTTGCCACCACAAAAAGAGCTGCTATGAATAGTTTTGTACATGTGGGTCGTTCTCCCATTTGTATGATCTCTTTGGGATGCAGCCCTAGAAGGGTTGTTGCTGGGTGAAAGGGTCTGCAGACTCTTGAAGCCAGGAGGCTTCCCGCTGGTCGTCTTTCTTGGACTTTGGTCTCTGAACTTCTTTCTGAGTGTCCTGTTATTCATCTTCCTTCACTGCAGCCCCTTGGTGGTACATCTCTTGAGGGACAAACGTAGATACTTTTCTCCCTTCCCCATTCTTTGTTCTAAAGATTCCAGGAAAAGAGTTGTGCTACTTTTTGTTGGGTGCCCTTCATCTTGAGCCAGTCCCTTTTAATTAAAAAAAAAAAGATCAAATTATTCTCCGCCACTGTCTTCTTAGCCATCTGTTTACTTTGCAAGTTGTCAGCAAGCATTTATTAGTTGCCTACTATATACCAAGCATTGTGCTAAGCACTGGAGATACACAAGGCAAAAACAAAAAGCCCAGTCCTTACTTTTGAGGAGCTCAGTTTAATGGGAGAGATGTGCGCAGAGCTATGTACAAACAAGAGGAGAGGGGGAGAGAGATTAAACTCGAGATGGGGGAAGGCAGTTGCATTACATTTCGACCTTAGTTTTCTCTCCTGTATTCTGTATTCCCACCCTTCAGTGGGAACAGGAAAATGCCATCAGTTCCTCTTGGCAATCCTCTCCAGGTTCCTTCTGGTGGCATTGCTTCGGCTCCCTGCATTACCAGAAATGGGTGGCCATCATCTATTTTGAGACTTCATTCTGTCGCAGTTTCCAGGTGTGTTGCAGAGGTTGTCTTGAAAGAATTCGCAGACTCAGACCATCTCCAACACAAACAAAGGCATTTATTGAGAATTATGCTTCTCAGCAGTGGGCTAGGCTCCAAGAAGGAACCCACAGCTTAACAGAGCAGGACATTGTATGAAGTGAAAGATGCAGTTACCTTATTACATACATTACCAAATATATGAATGTTGAAATATAGCAGGGGTTTGTTGATGTGGGAAGGGTCAAAGTCTTGCTGGTGCTGTGCAGGCAGTTACCCAGAATGCATACAGAAAAGCCCACTGGGGGGAATTAATGTGTGACAATGATATTATAATATGCCTTTCTACGCCATAAGTTCATCTGAGGACAATTCTTTGCTATTACTGTGCAGGTGTCCACTTAGGCTGTGATTCAGTGATCAAACATCCTGATTGATGTCCTGTTGGTGATGCTTTCTGATTGGCTGGCTGTTGTGGATGCATGTCTAAGATTGGATGGATGTAGTTGACATAGCTGCTGTTCTAGTGAGGCAGTGAGGCATATGAGGAAGTTGAGGTCTTGGGTCTGGGGCAGTGGATAGGATCCCATATTGATGGGATTGATCTCAGATGGCTGGCCCCAGGAAAACAACAGACCTCTCTTGCTGTTACTGGGTCAACAAAGAGTGGCCTTATATACCCTCCTGCAGGTCATCACCATCCTCTCTAGTGCTTTTCCCTCTTTCTTTGTCCCTTCCCAATGATCTCCTCACTAAGAGTGTCTTGGGCCCTATTTTATCACCCTCTCCTTCCTCCTTCAGGAAATCTCAAATCATTCCTTTCCTATCTTCCTATCTTCCTTCCTTCCTCCCTCCCTCCCTCCCTTCCTTCCTCCCTCCCTTCCTTCTTTTCCTCCCTCCTTCCCTTTCTTCCTCTGTCCCTCCCTCCCTTCTTTCCTCTGTGTGTCCTCCTTCCATTCTCTAGCCTCCTAACAAAGTCAGCTTTCCTCCTTGCCATTAAATGCTTGCTCTTCTTCACACTGAAGAGCTACTGGCCTTGTTGTGGCCAGCTGGCTGCCATATTTTCTCTTGGAGGAGGAGCAGAGACCACCTTGTGCTTGGGGCCTAGGCAGCAGCAGCTTGGATGTGCCCACAGTGCAAGTCTTATTGTGAGATTCTCAGTCCAACCTTGCTTTCTGCTTGTGGCCGCCTTGACTCCTGCTTTCTTTCCTTTTTGCCCAAGAGCCACACTTAATTCCTCTCCCTCCTCTTACTAATGTCATGGCTAATTTCACCAATTTGTTTTCTTGCCAGTTAATTTTAGCAGTTCTTTCAGCCTATTTTTTGAAGTTCCATTCCAGTCAATCATCAATTAGCATTTATTAAGCACCTGCGCTAAGTGCTTAGGATACAAAAAAAAAAAGATGCAGAAGACAGCCCTTGCCCTCAAGAAAGCTTCAATCTTCCAGCTCCAGATCCATGATCTTGGGGTGCATTCACCCCTTGTGTGCTCAGCTGACTGGCTCTGGGCTGGTGGGGCAGATTTGGCCTTCTACCTAAGCCTTCTCCACTTCTGGGCTGCAGGCAGCGGTTCTGCCTGTCTAAGGCATGATTCTGAGCTGGCCAGGAGTGGACAAGTGGCACGATCTCCTGTCCTTTGGTCCCCACAGGACCTCTTTGTTCCTGGTGCTCCTGCCTGCTGCTTCCTAGGGAAGAACAAAATTCTAAGCCTAGAGCATGAAACTGCCAGAGACACTTTATTAGCTAAGTGATTCCAAATCTGAGCACCTCTGAGCAGCGGAGGACTGGCCCACTTGAACAGAATGGGGAACCTGTCTCCAAAAGAGCCTGCATGTGATAGAAGAGCCTGTGGAGAGAGTGTAGATACCTTGTTACCGGTTCTGATTTACTGATCGCCTAGTGGGCTCTCTCCTCCTTGGGCAAATACGTGCCTGGTTCTTTCATTCAGGGGGAGATTAGTCTAACGGCTCTGATGCCTGCCTGCTTCCCTCCAAGAGCCCAAGACTCATCTTTGGTTCCCAATCCCAGCCGGTCTAGTGGTGGCTGAGGTGAAGGCTCATCTGAATTTGGACATGAACTTGGTAGAGCCACACTCTGTAGGAAGCAAGATGGGTCAGAGCCCACTCTCTCCAGAGACCGAGCTGTCAAGTAGAAAGTGGACCCTGAAGGTGCTGGAGAGAGATGCGTGAACTTCTGTTCTTGCTGTATCTTTGAAGTAAATGTAAATATCCCTTTGTAAGAGGAAATGAACCTGGGGAGTTAGTGGATAACAGTAAGGGGAACACATTTGGTGTGGGGTGGAGCTGATAGCTCCTTGGGGTTCTCCTAGAATCTTGAGGGGGAGACACAGAGTCAGACCCTTGCTCTGGGAGAGGGAGGCCAGAGCACACAGGCTAAATCTGCTGAGAGAGAAGAGAGAGAGAGAGAGAGAGAGAGAGAGAAGAGAGAGAGAGAGAGAGAGAATTAAAATCTGTCCTGCTTTTGAAATCCAGCTATTTTTGTGTTACAGTTTATAGTATTCCCAAACAAAAGACAAAATTCTTCCATCATGTAAAACATAGGAACAACTTTCAGGTAACAGACAGGATAATAGTTACCTAACTCTTGGTCCCTCTTAGAGAATCATTTTCTTAAAACCAGTTAATCCCTTTTAGTCACTCTCTTCAAGAATTCTTTCAGCCTCATCCAAGAGGAACTCATGAGTTACTTTGGTTAACTTAAATTAGTCAGAGATTCTTCCTTTTAGTCAGATCGCCACCACATTCTGGTCTCATGGGAATAGGTCAGTCTCCTTCACTTTATCCTTGTCTACTGACTGCCTTAAATCATCCTGTCTTCAGGGAGAACTGAGTTCTTCCCTCAACTTGGACTCCATTTTAAGAAAGGATGCTTACGAGGGTTTCAGACTAGGGCATGGACTTCCTCAGGTAAGTCTGCAAAGGACTCCAGACTAAAGTGTGATATAGCCTAACTCTGCAATAGAGGGACTCTCACTCTGAGCAAGACTTGATCTGCAGATGGGGAGGGAGCCATGCTGGGGGTCATGAGTCAGCTCCCAATGAATCTTCCTCTCCTCAGCCAAGTTGGATCTCTTGGGAAGAGGTTGGGGCTCTCATACCCTGAAGGCTCTTCAGCAAGGACATTGTCTCTAGGGGCTTTACCAGGTAAGCTGCTCACGTTTGTCTGAGAGGGGATGCTTATTGTCTTGTGACTGAGAAAGCCAACACTCTGGGGATGGACTCTGGAGGTACTGGCCCCCACAAAGAGCCTTCTCTGGTCTATGGGAATTTCCAAGAGGGTTGTCTCCAACAGGAGCCTCTTGCTACACTTGGTCTATGGGAGTAAGCTCTGGCTGCAAACTGAATTATGTGATCCTGAGCAAGTGACCCCAGGTTTTTAGGCATCATTTTCCCCATCTGTAAAGTGGGGACAATCCTCTTCCTGTAACCTCTAAAAGACCCCATTGGAATTAATGCTGCAGCATGTATCCCATAGTTAATCAGAGGTGAAGGGAGCAGGATGGGTTGATGATGACTTGAAGTCCAGGCCTCTGAGGCATACTGTTCTGCCTCTTCCTAGAAACTTTGCTTGTGGTGAGGACCATGGAAAGGCCTTTCTGCACCTCTTGTCTTCCCAAATTCTGCATCAAAGACTGGCCGGAGCCAAAGTCAGTGGCTTTTCTGGAGGTAGGGACAGACAATCCCAGAAAGATGCTCCCTTAGGAAATGGGATTGGTGTAGACCTGCCTCTTGGGCTGTTTGAGGGGCAGAGGATAGGGAAGCAGAAGTTTCCTGTCTCTAGCCTCTCCTCACATGGGGACCTTTGCCATGATCCCAGAATTAGACTCTGCCTCCAGTCTCTTCCCTCCCCAATTCAGCCTGCCAACAAGTCCTGGTCTGACATTCATTTTAAAAAATGTCAATTCCAAATTCTTTCCCACCCATACCTCAAAAGGCAAGCAATATGATATCCATTGTACAAGTGTATAGGGGTGTTAATGGAGGACTGCCACCTCTGGAGTGATAGCTGCAGAGCTCTTTTCAGGGCTGCTCATCCACGTTTGGGGTCCACCTGTCACCCACTTCTCACGTGTGGCTCCAGGAAGCTGCAGTGGCCACACCCTGGTAAACTGCTTTGGCAGATGAGTTAAATGAGGTTGAGGGTAAGTAATGAGAGTTAGAGCGATATCTACCCCAAGCATGTGAAGACTTCGCCCAGCAGAAGAGGTGAATGAGAACAGTTTGTTCCCAGGGCCATGAAGGCAGCTGAAGCAGGCGCTGTGGAGCTCTTAGAGCTTGGTTAGACGTCAAAGATGCCAAGGTCACCCACTGCATCTGAGCCCAGCACCAGTCATCTTATCTGTGTCCTGCCTCTGGACTGTGACAACTCTGGAAGGGGTGAGGCTGATGATGTCATGCAACTCTACCTCACTTAAATCCAATTTGCATGTGAATCAAAATACATCACCTCTATCCTTTTTTTAAATCATTTTTACCTACCTCAAAGTGCTGAGGTGACAGGCACATACATTGCCAGAGCTAGCTCAGTGTTTGGGAGGCTCTGAGCAGTAGCTCAAAATGAACGTGAGATGTACAGATTTAGTTCACATGGACTATTTGTGCCTGACCTATGGCTGTACTTTCTGAGCTTGTATTGGTCTGATGAGCCATAGTCAGACACACCATACCTTGACCCCAACATAGTGATATCATTTTGGTCCTCTGAGAATGAAGGACAGCAACCAACCAAAGAGCCCGTCCTGTGTGTGAAGTCATGCAAAACATTTCCATCTGTTTCTGTGTTGCAAAACCGCAAGAAAAATAAGGTGAATAGAAGTTTGCTTCAGTCTGTGCTCATTCTCTCTCAGAAGTAGTAGCATTTTTCATAGTGAGTCGTTTGGAATTGTCTTGGATTATTATATTGGTCAGAGTAGCTAAGTCTTCCACAAATGACCGTCATATGATATTGCTGTAATTGTGTACAGTGTTCTCCGGGTTCTGCTCACATCCCTTTGCATCAATTCACCTATGCCTTCCAAGGTTTTTCTGAAAGCACCCTGCTTTTCCTTTCTTATAGCACAGTAGTATTCCATCACAGTCATATACCGTAGCTTGTTCAGCCATTCCCCAGTGAGCATCCCCTCAATTTCCAGTTCTTTGCCACCACAAAAGAGCCAGTATGAGCCAGAGATACCTTCTATTGCCATTGATTCACTCAGAGTGCGACATGTTCCCCTAGCAGTGAATGGAAATGTGTGACACTCACAGTTCAGCTCGTGGTATTCATACATCATATGAGAAAAAGTAAACAAGGTAACGTCTTATTCCAGTGTTGTACGAAGGAAAACAGAGTGGTTACATAAAGGGGGAAAGGCTGTGGTCATTAAAGAGAATGTATATCACCAGCCACAGCTAGTACAGAAAAGACGTGTCTTTGTTATTTAGCCAGTTATGGTAAGTGAGAAGGAACCATCCGTCACCTGTCAGGCAGGATGAGGGAGGAGAACATTCCCTGGGCTGTTGATTTCTTCCTTCTATAGAATTTAAATCTTGTTGTACCGATTGAAACAGGAAGTCTGAAGGAAACCGACTGTCATGGTTGGATCTGCAGTTCATGCCAGGGTCATGACCAGCAAAGTGGCAAAGACAGAACGAACTTCTAACCAGACCACTCTCAGCTCTCAAGAATACACTTTCAACAGGTCCCCTTTTGTCCTAGATAAAACCATCATCCTGGACCATCTCATCGGAATGTGAAATTCACAGCACAGTTAGGAGTTTTGTTCAGCAAGATAGGCAGCTTAGTCCAAATACAGTTATAGAGGTTATGAAACAAAGATAAGGGGCTAAAATTATGCAAAAGTCAAAGAATCTTAAGGAAGAACCTTATAAAATTAGCCCTTCTGCTTAATATCACACAGACAGACAGACAGACACAGACAAACATAGGCAGAGAAACAAGAAAGAGGAGGAGAGACAGAGAAACAGGTGGGAGGGAGGGAAGAAAGAGAGAGAGAGAGACAGAGAGAGAGGGAGGGGGAGAGAGAGCTCAAACATAACATTAAGATTCATTTTTTAAGACCTTTGTAGTTCTGCAATGAAAAAATAGAGGGACATGGTTGTCACAATTTCAAGACTGTCCCATCAAATCCAAGCCTGAAGTCACAGACTGATAGGTTGTTCTTCAGGTTTTGGTTTGTTTTTTTTTCGCTGAGGCAATTGGGGTTAAATGATTTGCCCCGAGTCATGCAGCTAGTAGGTGTTATGTGTCTGAGGCTGGATTTGAACTCAGGTCCTCCTCCAAGGCCAGAGCTCTGTTCACTGCACCACCTAGTTGCCCATCATTCTTTGTTTTCAAAGAGGACCAATTGACATCATAGGGTGATGTCTTGACTTGTACATGAATTGGATTAAGTGAGGCAGAAGTTCACAAAGTCCTCAGCCTCATGCTCTCCTCCAGAGCCATCAAAGTCCAGTGGCAGGACAATGGTCAGAAGGACTGGCAGTGGCCCAGGCTGTAGTGGATGATCTTGGTGCCTTCCATATCTGACCACGCACTAAACAATACCACAGTTCCTGTTTCAGTCACCTCCACGGCCACTGGAACAAATTGTTCTCATCCACCCATTCCACCAGGACCAGTCTTCACATGTTGGAGTAGAGCCTCCCTACCCCCCCTACCCCCACATCCCTAACTCACTATTGAGCCTAAGACAGTTTTACCTGGGCATGGCTTCTTGTAGAAGCTACTTGGCACCATAGGTGAGAGTTGCTGCTGGTGGACACCAAAGGTGGATGGATGAGCAGCCTTGCAAAAAGCTCAGAAAGGCTTCACACCAGAGATGCTAGTGCTCCTGGAACACCCCATACACCTCATATGTCACAGGTATAATAGGATGAAACTCCCTTACTGCTGTTTGATTTCAGGTGACAAGTTTTAGAAAACTGTTGGAACAGTCAGTAATGCAAAAGAGTTTCACAGCATACCATAACCAACCTTAGGATAAATCAGATGAGAAATTTTCCTGTTCAGAAAGGAAATAGCTCAGTAGGGAAATTGAGTCAAGAGACTTTTGCCATTACCTTAAATCCATCTTCTCAACCTTCCCAATCATCTGCATCCACCTGTAGCACATTTCAGATCACACCCTCTTTGAGTGGCTCATGGCATTTCCTTTGAATGGTGGAGTACTGGCTTAACAATAATTCAAGAAGTTTTACCTGAATTCAAAACTCAGAGCAAATAAAACTGCAGTGCCAAGAGGTTCCACCTCATGCAGCAAGTTCTTTTAGACACAGTCTGGGAAAGGGTACAGTTGTTTTTCTTGTTGCAAAGAACATTTGGTTTAAAAATGAATAATAAGATAGTTATCCTCAATATTTAAGTACTTATAAGTCCTTTCTAAAAAAGAAAAAAAATTATCTTTTTTTAAACATCCTGGTGTAAAAATTAAGGAAATTAATCACATTCTTGGGTTTTATACAGCATGTAAATGTATGATAGGTCACTCAAAACCCAGAAAGACACTGGTTTCTGTTAGCTTGGACATCTCAAGATATTGCATATCAATCCCTAAACAAAAAAGAAAGAAATCTTTTAAACTGGGGTCTATCGATCTTAATTTGGTGCAAAGATGTAACTCCAATAATACTATTCCAACTGTAATTTTATCCAGTTTTCACAAATTTTATTATTAGCAATTAGATAATTCATAATATAAATAACTTCTACAGTGCAAGCAATCTTGTAAGCCATATTCCACTTTGGCTGAGTGTTTGTGAGGGAGGAAGGGATCTTGGCTCCTCAGTAAACCAATTTACTGTGTTAGAATTTGCAAGGCTCTTATAAATCATATGCATTCTTCTAGCTCCTTTTATAGAGCTAATGAGATTTTATGATTTTGCAAAAGCTGAGGATTCAAAGGACCTGGGAAATCACCAAAGAACTTTACAGATAATGAGAATTTACAAGGTCTTTCATACTTTTCCTCAAACTAAATAATAATTATTATTCATTTTAAATCAATATATACCTAATTAAATAATTTAATTAAATAAATTTTCTAATCATAAGGACAAAAGTTTCCAGTAGATAGTAACTCAAAATCATAGTTTCACAGCATTCAGATTTTAAAAGGAGCTGGTTTTCTTTTAAAATATTTTAT